GTGGATAGTCGTCCTCTAACAGAAGTAATCGCCCTACACCGCCTCCGAAGGCTTGGTCACGTATTGCGTATGCCTGCCCATCGACTTCCTTTCCGTGCTCTCTTTGCACGTGCCGGGCAAGGCTGGAAGAAGCGGCGCGGCGGTCAGACCATGACATGGGCTAGAGGCATGAAGAAGCTGGCTTCAGCTTTGGCTTCGGTTGGTGCAGCCCGCCTTCCAGGTTGGGGCCCAAGGGATGAGGATTGTCGTTTGTTAGAGACGCTGAGAGATATGGCCCAGAATAAAAGGCAGTGGCGCGAATGTTGTACGATCTGTCTATCGAAATCCCGTGCCCATTAAGAAAAACGAAACATCAAACAACAACAAAATTGCAAAAGGTGTACGGTGAAACACAAAAAATTCTGTTATCTTGTATTTTCCATGTTTAACTGTCTCACCCACTTTTCACCATGTTCTGTATCCTAATCCACCTATCCCCTTTCACTGTCATTGTTGTTGCGTTAGCACCATGCTTGTTTTCAAGCCGGTGGTAAATATATATATATATATATATATATATATCAAAAAATAGACCAAATCCCTACCCTCAGCAAACATTCTCACTTACCTTGCATGGATGTATGTTTGGCAACGATCAGTGAAGTTCGTTCCACTGGATTACGCTGTATAATGATGATGATGTGTGATGAACGGAGGGAGGATATACTGTTACCTCATGCGAACCGGCCGCCTAAGTCCCAAGAACTGAAGTAGTAGACCATATAGGGTTCCACTAACAAAGATGTAATACTGAGCCGGACAACAGAGGATGTGCTTACTACCATGGTGGGTGAAGATGGCGGGGACTGAATCTCGGATTATTACTTCAACTGTTTGACCAACACAAAGTGGATGCATGGCCGACGGTGGGAGGGTCGACCTTGCAAACAAAAAGCGCATGCACTACCGGATGAGCTAGCTGGGTACAAGGATCCATACAAACCTACATACCGCTCTTATTTCTCGCTTCATTGTGGCTTTGGGTGTTTATTATTTAGGGATTGAACCCAAGGTCTAAGCAGGCAGAACAAAAGAACAGAACTCACTTGATCAGCACGGTTAGAGGTGGGCTTCTGTGGTTGTGGCTAGCATTACTTACTTATGCCTTATGGGAGGCCATGCACGATTAGGAGCAAAAATAAGCTGTCGATTGAGCTTCTTTCGTTCTCCTTACGCGGCGGTGTTTTCCCACAAAAAAGAGAAGACTAAAACCTAACATCCGAGGTCATAACCGAACCAGTGATTCACTAGCAATTCACCCAGAGGAGTTAGCAAAATAAAGTTGACTCTAAATCCATGAAGTAGATGCACAAGACCAAAGCCCAAATTTCACACACATTGTTTGTATGTGAGTATGCAATGTATGTATGCAATACAGGATGTGTACATATTTCCAGGTTGTTGCATTAGTGATCTCGAAGTTACCGATGACGTTTTGGCACTTTCACAGAAGCTGATCGCATTGCGAGAGGTACATTGTACTTCAATGGACGCACAGTGGAAATTGTCTTAAACTTTCAATACACGGCTTTAGTTGCGTTTCTGCAGCTCTAAACCACCCTTGCGAGCCAAAACGAGATAAGTCTCCGAAAACAACCTAAGACTGGTTTCCACAGAAGTCTGTTCAGCCTTATTGCACTATCAGGAAACCAGTGTTGCCAGTTGCGACGATAACAACGAACGAGCTATAGGACAAAAGACCCCAACGAAATCCCGGGTGAGTGCGTGGCAGCGAGTCAGTGACAAACAAAGGTAACCAATTGGATCGGAATATTCCATGGAAATACGATCTCGTGACCGAACCGAATAGCGAAAAGCAAGGCAGTCCTTGCGGAAATCGACCATTCAGAGGTGAGCATGGTTGGTGATACGAAATTAAACGTTTTTGGTGCGATAAATTGGAGATTCTAACTTCATGAAAATAAATAGATGGGACGAAACCTGCTACGATGGAGGTGACCCGTACACTGAGGACCTTATCCCCTATGATGTGGAACTCATGCGACTCGAAAACCACGGCATCGTCGTCGTCAAGAAGACGAATGGCAGTATCCGCATTTGTACCGACTACTCCACAGGATTGAATGCCGCCCTCACTACCAATTGCAATCCGCGGCATTGATTCATAAATTAAAATTTTATGATGAATAAATAGAAACATGAAGAAAAGTAATGGCAGACAGTCTACTCTTTAGGAGAATATCGGCTCTTCCCCATCAACCGGGTAATCTATACTTGAGGAATTCAAAAGATCGAAGATGTTCGAATCAGATTCGCCCTGAAAGTGAACCGATATGACATAATGTCTGACTACCGACCTATCAACGTTGATGCAACATAGACGGCTGCAACGAATGAGACACCTATATAGTAATTCTGATACTTCTATCACGAACATCGAGACACCGTTCCTAGGCACAGGCTGGCACCGCCGATGTGGGGGACAGACTTGCCTGGACACGAACCGCCCAACTCAAAAGTAAACCAGTAATGAAACGGGTCATTAGCGTACCTGGTTCTCTCTCTACCATGACCACGAGAAGCGAACAGAAAAACAGAGAGAAAAGAACATAAAAGGAACGTGAATTCGTAATGAACACAATTGCAAAGTCAAACTTACGTCAAATCGATATCATCACGACTGTCTGCATGAGACATCGAATTGTCATTAGATATCGGTTGACGTGTGGCGGATCCGGTGCAGCGTTGGGATTCCACAATCTCTGAAAATCAATTGAATGGAAATGGAACATGATTCAATACCGATAGCACATTAGAACAGCTTCGAGCTCCATGAATTACCACACACAGAAAAAGCCTGACAACACTTGATCAACTACGCATTCACGAAAATAAGTGTACGGATTGGTGAAATCAAAGGGAAGACGGGAAGACCGTAAATCGGATTATGCCACCTTGAAGCGACCCCAACTGATTGTCTCGTACATTCGCGTCGAATAATTTGAAGAGCCGTTCAACTTTTTCGTAGTGGATGGTTAGCATTTGTTTTCGTCCTAAAATGCACGCTACAGAGTTAATCATGGGACTACGGGGTGGCACACACATCGGAATTGGACGGAGAATATAGGCTAATCAAAAGCCGGACGTACGAGAAATTGGGACAGTTCGAAAATCGCAGTTCATCGGGTTCCGTTGAATAGTCACAGTCAGATCTCAAGTCCTTGATCCACAAACCAACCCGAGCAGGTTATCCAGATTTTAAGCATTCCTTAGGTAACTTGTACCCAGAGTTTTCAATCTGCTTCAGATATACTAAATCCCCGGTTCAGCTATAGCTAAAAACATTGCTTTCGCACCCTCCAAAACTTCAACGAAAACAACCACGCCACGAAAGGACTTTAAAAGCAGACTTTTGATGAGACGAATTTCACAAGAGCATTCGAGGAGACGAGAGGTCTGTCACCCTTAGAAAAAACTGGGAACTTTGGCGGTACTAAAAGCTGCCAAGTGCGTCTGTGAGTGGTGGATAGAAGAAAAGACTCGGTGGGCTCGCGGATGTCGCTTGTCGATGTACCTTTTAATGCCATAAGCGGGTGGAAAATGTAAAGGGTGGTCAATCTAAGAAGGTATAAAAACCGTAACCAGGAGACTGGGTTGGTTGCAAATTTTGGGTAAGTTTCGAGAAATTCAAGCTAATAGTTTGGACATGATGCGGAACAATCGCCCCGACGGTCATAAATGCGCTTGAATAGACACAGGTGAAGTAATAGGTACAAAATGATGTATTTAAGGTATTGGATCTTGATTCATGGGTATTAAACTGTACTAGCATAAGGAGAGAAAAAACCTATTTTCAGAATCTTATGATTCGGCTATTTCCGTATAAACCCGAAATTGAGAGCTTTTAATACACGGGGACGAAATAAATGAATACCGAACGACATTTGAAACCAAACCCCAATTATTTCACGGTCAGGTGAACGAATCTATTAGTCATCAAGATGTTTTATACGGATCTGAATCAACCGGCATTCCTTGTAGAGCAGCCGATTATCCATGCGCACTTTAACTGACGCCAAATTCAAACCATCACGTGATTTCCCACACAGCATGGAACATAGAATGAAGCTGAACGATGGAAATCCGCAGCGTGTGTTTCAGCAAACGAAGAATAATAGAATCGAACAAAAGGCAACATCGTGCTGTATTTGCATCGTGCAACCGGTCAAACGACCTAAATTGTGGTCAGTTTTATTAGGAGTCACTCACTTGATATTCTTGTATTTATCAATTTTCACGCACAAGCAAACCCAGGTCTTGTTTGGAAATCAATGCTCTGATATGCGACGAAACTGGACAACCGTACAGCACAATGAATGCTACAAACCCCACCCTAATTTTCCGCAATACCTCGATAAACGAACACCTCAGGTTGATCAAATTTGGCATAATGATGAGCCAACTCATGCCACACAGATAAAAACCAAACCCACTGCGATTATGAATTTGCTTTTTTATTTTTATTACACACCAGTGTGTGATGAACAGCAGATGGGACCCATAGACACGAAGACCTGCTGTTCAGTGATGGTAACCGGCGTACCTGAACCGCGAGAGACATGGAGTGGCGAACCACATAAGGATCCGATAGGTCAGGCGTGGTATAGAACCGGGGGACAACAAAGCTGTTTACCACCAAAGTTGGGTGGCGGTGGCGGGATTCGAACCTCAAACCACAGGGTCTAAAGCACCCAGATGGCAATGCCACCACCACCTTAACTGCATTATTCTAGAAAATGTGGATTAGCCGGTGCGAAACGCCATTAATCCCATTCCAAGAAATTATGATAATAAAATATAAGTAGTTACTAAACACATCGACCTTTATTCGTAACAAGTAAAAAAAAAGCTCACACACACTTCCAATCAGGGTTAGAATTGATTTAACTTCACAATGTTCAACCCGTAAAAGATAACTGTCTTTAATTCGTGGACCAGTGAAATACTCATCCAGGCATGTGGACCAACTCAGTTTTCAGACCAGAGACCACCGTCACAATACTGGCAAGAATGCAGAAAAAGTTGGACATCAAGCGTGCAAAAATGTGAATTGACTACCGAATGCAGTAGAAAGCTCAGAACTAACACTCCCGTTGTCGATCAGTATACCAGTACGATCGGGTAGCAAAATGTTTCGGTAAACAGATATTCGAGATGGGATGACTTTGTAGTGGCGGTCCACAAGACATCCCAGCCAACCGGATGGATAACACAGATAGCCTAATTAAATCAAAGAAGCTATGTAAATATCAAAGGAAACAACGGCGGACTCTAGCGCGAGCTCAAAACACAAACGATGAATCTCGGCGACCTAGGCCACACTGTACTGTCACGGGAAAGCGACCGTTCAGAAAACAGGATCAAGACAGACTGTCTTTGTTCGAACACCACTGTCTATAAATTATTGCAGGAATCTGGTGGGGCAACCGGACGTGCAATGCTGAGGTTAGGCGCAGAGTTTTAGTTAATCGTGGTCACCCACTGGAGCAGGTGGTCGACCTCCATAAATTACTTTGGTTAGAGCATGTGTTACGCATGTCATAAAATAGGTTTCCATGGGGCGCGGTGTTTGCCGAGGTAAGTAGTGAATGGAAAGATGCTAAGGATGACCAAACTAAGACCTAGCATGAGGGTATGAAACCCCAACCAGAAGACTAGTTCACATTGGTCCCGTTATGCTCCCTGTCTTGGGACCTCGAGATGATCGTAACCGGCAGTTAGAGACACTGAGTGAAATCGCGGAATGTCGTAAACAATGGCCTTCGACCACGTTCTAAATTTCTTTGCAACCTTGGGCCATTGAAATTCTCTATTTTCTCTTCTACTCTACTTTCAACTCTGTCATTCACCTACTGCTTCGTCCAAATGGACGGCCAAAAGATAGCAACCAAAACCGCTGCACGAAAATACATGGTTAATGGTTGTACAAACTGAACTAATTTAGCATTTATGCTTGAAAAATGTCAGAAACAATCCCGTGGTCTATTAGTTTGTTTAGCGAACACTGGTCTTTAGACGCGAGTACTTTTCTCTGTTTCAGCTCCGGTAGCCTTGAACAGCGTTTCATTTTTCTCTGGCGTCAAACATTAGATCCACGAACCCGAACATGATGCATTACCTTGGTGATCATCGTTCGACTACCATCTGTGAATTGATAAATTTGATATCGCTCAGAATATCTGAGGCACAGCCACCTCAATGAACTTACGTGGCGAGTTACAGAGTGCAATACAATGATAGCATTTGGTGTAGGGTTAATAGTGTCTTGGAGTCATAGCTGGATGTTTTCTACGGTGGATTAGTTTAGCAAAGTCATAATTCCAGTCCGTGTAGTTTCTCTATACACGGTAGTTTTGTTAGCACCATATACTAAACTGGATCAATCCGGGTGATCCGATTACAAATGGATAGCGGAAAAGCGAGGTGGGATAAGAGCATTTCGTGCACGATATTTACCACACCCCTGAAAGGTAATCCATTCAAACAGACAGTTTGGTGTTGAACATCTTCGAGAATCAAAAATCACTATATGGAGTGGAGAACGTAACTCTGTGCGGAACATCGACCGATTTTGGGACTAGTGGTGTATTCTAACCCTGACACAAAACCGCCTTAATCCGGTTAGTCTCGAGGGACAAAACCACGAGAAAGTGAGCAGATAAACACAGAGAGGACGTTTCGAGTGGGGTTGGACGGGGAAAAACGAAACCACCAGAAAGTAGACAAGTTCAGAGGACGAAACAATACCAATCAGCATCTAAATGATGTGAAGAGCAGATTCACTGATTTTACTATTTGCGATCGGGTCAAAGCAGCGGTTCGCTATGATATTCTCTCTATTGGACGACACTGTACTAAGAGAGTATTACCTGAGCTGCCAAAAGCTACAAAACAGTACTTGTTAGTTATGGAATCTGATTAGTACCACGTTTGTTTAATGGTGAGTTCCTGATGGGCTGTTGAAATTTGCAAATGAGAACGGCTGTTCGTAAAACAAACCCACAGATCACACATTATTCCCGGGATAGCTGGGTGGGAAAGTATGGTGAAGAATGTGAATGCTTTCTATCTTTACGAACGAGTTAACGGTGAGCTTCTTCTCGGTAGGATTAACTTTCTATCTATGACAGACAGTCAATCCACACTGCAGTATGACAAGCAGTAAAACGGAGTTAGTCTTGCGGTCATTGTTAGGCACTATTGAATGCTTTGTGTTACCTCGGTCATTTGAGATAATCATCATCATCATCATCGTACAGCGAAATACAGAGAAGCGAACTTCACTGATTGCTGCCAAGCTCGCAATGTATATACACTCGGGTTTGATGGACGGGTACTGGTAGTGTCCAGCCACTAAGCAATCGACTTCTCTACGCAACTGCAACCAACCAGGGTGAATCGGGAGGCGTTCGAACAAGCTCGGGCCGACCAGCTTTAATATACAGCGCACTGTTCGAAGATGAGCATGGTTCACTTGTTTTGTCATCAAATACAGCAATGAAAACAAACGAGGACAAGCGTAGAGACCGTGCGGTGTTTCACAAACATGTGCTGTGTGTACATGATGGCAACTTGTGGAGCTCCTTGTCAAGCCAACACTAGCACTACTCTCCCCAATCGATGTGAGACTGGCGAACGCGGCGATACACAAACTACCAATTAATCACATGTGCACAATATGGGAGTGAATAGTTAGCGGGAG